TTATCCCGCCATGTTTCCATGGAATTTACTTTCGTAAGGTCACTCATAACCTCTACAATGGCAGACACCATGTTCAATGCCTTGTCCTCATCTTACTTGTCCAGCCTATAGACCTATAGACCAGCAGTTCTCAACCTGTGGGTCACAACCCACAGGAACTATATTAAAGGGCCGTGGCATTAGGAAGGTTGAGAAGCATTGATCTAGATGGTTGATGACTGCCCTCTTCCTGACTCATTTTCCTCAGCTCCTCTGAGCTCTGCTGATCTACTCCTAAGCATGCCCACGGCCCCTCCATTCCCTCCACGAGTGGCTCCTTGCTTACCTTTCCCCCCAGGAGCAAGACTGACTGGGGCTTAGTCCTGGGGATGCTTTTCCTTCCCTGCATTCACTGTCTTGTGGATTCCATCCATGTCAGGACTTTTGGTACTGACTTGGTGTCACTTATTCTCCAATTATACCTCCAGCCCTGATGCCCCCATTGCATCTTCCTCACCTCACTTAAAGTGCCTTCATCCTTCCTGTTCCTCTGACTAAAAACTTAAATGTCATCCTTGACTTCTGTCTTTCTGTCCTAACCCAACTCTCAGCTGTAATCCAATCCTAATGACTCTTTGTCAAAGTCTATCCAGCAACTGGGTTATTTCAGTTGTCCCGTAAGCAGTCTCCTAGCTTCACCCTCACTGAGCAGCCAGAGTGATAATTCATATGAATAGAAATAAGGCCACAGACCCCCTTGACTCAGATCCCTCAATGTCTCTCTGTGTCACTCTGCATGGCATCTGGCCACTCCCATCTTGACCTCTCTGACCTCATCCCCTACCACCCTCTTCTCTTGATCACACTTCAGCACACCAGCCTTTGCCAGGTGTGCCTCTGCTCCCAGGGCTTTTGCAGTTGTGGATCTCTTGACCCAGAACAGGCTGGCCCCTCATCTCCTTTAAGTCTTGGCTCAAATGCCAAACTCACAATGGGGCCTTCCCTGATCTCTTTATTTTAAATCTGTGCTTCACTTTTTCCCATGGCACCAATCATCAGCTAGCAGGCTGTACCTTTGGCTTCTTGGTTTTTCATCTAATATCCATCAGGGGAGGAGTTTTGGTTTAGTTTGTTGGCTTCTGCAATCCCAAGGCCTACAACAGCACCTGACACATAATATCACTGAATAAATACTTGATATATGAGTTTGTTCAGGCTGTAGTTTGACAAAGTACCATGGACTGGGGGATGGGGAGTTAAATGACAGCAGTGTACTCTTTCCTAGTCCTGAAGGCTGGAAGCACAAGATCAAAGTGTCAGCAGGGCTGGTCCCTCTTGAGGGCTGTCCTTGGCTTATAGATGGCTACCTCTCCCTGTGTCCTCCCATGGTCATCCATCTGTGGGTGTCTGTATTCTTATCTCAAAAGGACAGCAGTCCTATTGGTTTGGGGTCTACCGTAATGATATCATTTTGTTTTAAATATCTCTTTAAAGGCCCTATCCCCAAATGCTGTCATATTCTGAGGTTCTGGGGGTTAGGACTTCAACATATGAATTCTGGAGGACACAAGTAGGCCCCTAACACCTGATGATTACCTGATTGGTTAATCAGTGAGGGGGGATAAAATGGGTCTCTTATAGGGTAAGGGTGACTGTTAGTAAGGGTTGGGAAGGTTATAAGGGAACAGAGGGGCAGTAGATTTCAAAGAAGCTTCAATTCTGGGATGGATGAGCGTCAGTGAAGAGTAAATGACATTGGCAGAAGGTGCTCATGTCAAGCAGAGGATGAGGTGCAGGAATGGGGTTGGGGAGAGGGAGCATAGGAGGAGATGAATTGGTGGAGCTGAGACGTGAGAAAGAAGGGACTGGTCAGGCCTTGCAGAGTAGAGAAAGTGAGGCGTCAAAGGACTGGTGGGTGGTTGACAATCCTATCTGCTCAGATAGGATCCAGGTGTTGGAAATGTCACCCATGGCCAGGATTGTCTAGGTATTTTGCAGGGCAAAACTAAAAATGAAAATGAAGCTCTTTTGCTTGGAAACATGAAGGATTTCAAGATTGTGACAACAGAGCCTTGAACCAAGTGTGTGCAGCCCTTCTAAACATGAAGAACCATCTGACCCCACTGGTCACACATCCAGGAAGTTGGCTTTTCTGAATGGGATCTGGCACAGAAAAGCAGACAGGTTAGAAGTCAGATCAAACTCTGGATGGAAGGCTTGTCCTTTTGCATTGGGTTGGGAACTTTTTCTGAATTGTGATCTGCATTCTGCCACCTTCATTTTTCTTATAGCAACTACAGCATGAACCCTGGGAGCTGTGTCCTCCCACAACTCTTAGCACAGTTCCTTACACATGACTGGCACTCAGAAAACAAGGGTGATTGTCACATGCCAAACTGTGCTTGGATCGCTCACCAGTGCAGAGGTAACAGAAGGGCCGCTGCTGGCTCTGATGGAGGTGGGGAGAGGGATTGAGGGTTCATTTGCATAATGAGAGTCTGAGCTGTGCTGGGGGTTTAGGGGAGACTAAAGACATTGCAATTTGCTTGGAAAAGGACACCAATAGCCGAGCTCTTTCCATACTGGTGCAGGGAGCATTTTTCAGGCAGGAGGAATGGAGGGAAGGCTGCAGCCCTCCCCTGCTGTCCCCAGAAGTGGCTGGAGCCATGTGGTGGGGACTCCAAAAGCCCTTAAAAAAGCCAATAAGTCGGGAGAAGCTCATGCCCCAAGACTCAGGCTTTCTGCAGGGAGGAGGCAGGAGCCAGAGGTGCCATTGGCATTGGGGGCAATGTTAAGATGGTAAGTTGAAGGCTGTTCTTCACCTCAGCACAGCCCCTCCAGGCTCAGCTTTACAAGGATCTAGTAAGCACCTATACCAGTAAGGCTTGGTGCTGGATGCTAGGGAGACAGGAAGAGGCAAGGGCCTTAACCCTGAGAGCGGAGGAGCTCCTGTTACCTACATGAACACCCCCACGAGTGCAGTGCAGCTTCCTGTCGGCTGAAGCTGCATTATATTCAGCTCATGCCTAAGCACCAGGTGCACTCGGCATGACGACCTCCCCAACCCTCTTAGCAACCATTTGGGGGAGGCACTGTCAGCTTCATTCCCATTCGACAGATAAGGGAACGGAGATGCAGAGAGGTTAAGTCACTTACTGAAAATCGCAGAGCCACTGTGTGAGACTGCTGAGAGCTGCAGCAGGCAGCAGGCTCCAGAGGCGGCATTCCTTCTGCTTCCTGTCTCTTACCATCCACAGAGGCCCCATGTCTGTGTGGGAAGAATGAATGCAAGTGCACAAGGCAACAGTGGGAGGAAAGGCATTCCAGGCAGACAGGGAACTAGAAGTGGGCTTGTGTTGCTGGAGCCGGAAGCTCAAGAGGGGACATGTAGACCCTTGTGCACACTCTGGAGAAGGGCTATATTTTCAGCAGTTGTTTGCACAAGGGGTCATGGCTGTTAGGAGCAGGACAGGAACATGCTAGTGGCTGGCAAACTCAGGCAGTTGGCTCCAGAAGAGCCCCAGTCTGTTTTCCCCCAACAATCACAACCCTGACTCTGCCCCCTTGAATCAGGGTTTCTCCCAAAACATACACAGTCCAAATTTGGGCACCAAAGGAGTCCCATCATTAACCCAGGTGATCTTACTTTTATTCCATGGAACCTTACTCCACAGGCTTGGGCTTGACCCTCTTCACCTTTGATGTGGAGAGTGCCACACATCTGTCAAAGGCCAGGTCCACTCCAGCAACCCTGGAATAGCTGGCCAGGGCAACACTCTGAGAAGAAGGGGCAGAAATGGAAGGGGAAGCCCCATGTCTGTGAAGGGGGGAGGGTTGGTGTTACTCCACCAGGATGCGGCTGGTGGAAGTTTCCTGTATGCCTGCTCAGGCTCATTCCCGTGAAAGGCACTTTTGTGCGGAGGGAAGGAGGAGGTCATCAATCTTAGCACTGGGCTGGGCTCTAGAGGTGCAGAGGATGAAAAAGAGTCCCGACAGCTCAGGAGGGCCCCTGGCCCTTCCTTGGAGGTTTTTCCAGCCCCAGAGCCTCAGAACTGTCGTCCTCCTCTCTTAGCAGCCCATTCCTGTGTGGTTTCTCCTGGGCTAGTGTCATCTTAGCTACCAGTATCTTGTCCTGCCATGCTGAACCTTCCACCTGCTGGCCTCCCAAGGTACCCCACCATCTCGTGCTCCTTGCAGGCCCAGAGGATTCCTTTCTCTCCCCCTTTCTGGCCCTGAGGTCTTCCAAGGCCATTTCAAACTCTGTCATCTCTCCACAGGCCCGTAGGGGAGGCACGGTTCCCCCCATTTCTCAGATTTTACAGGAGGGAAGTCTGCCTTCCCAATGCAGGGGGGGGGGTGAGGGAGGAAGCCAAGGTCACCCAGCCTTTGCCAAACGAGGCCTAGACCAGGGCCTTCTTCTGCGGGACCTGTGGGGTCCTGCCGAGGTGGGGTCCAGGTTGCTGGCCCCCGGAGCCCCTCCTTTATCCAAGGGCACCGGCTCAAATGGCAGGTAAGCCCGAGTTGACACAGGAGGGGGTTGGGCAGCTCAGGGACGCCTGGTGCACGGGCCTTGGGCGCAGCTGCCGGAGCCTGCTGCTGCGCCAGGTCTTCCGAGGGCCCGCGTCCCGGGCCACTACTGGGCCGGTGCAGTGGCCAAAGTCCCCTGAACGCCCCAGGCCCGCCGACCAGGCCCCGCCCCCCGGCAGCACGGGCGGGGGGGGGGGGGGTGCGGGGGGAGTGGGGCGCGGGCGCGCGGTGCTCGGTGCGCGCCGCCGCCCCTCCGGCCCAGCTTGCGGGCCCGCTCTCCCAACCCCCTCGGCCCGCTCTCTTCGCCCCCACCCCTCCTTCAACTCCTCAGCCCAGCGGCCCGGCGGCCCGGTGCACGGGGCAGCGCGACGATCGCGGCCTGGCGATCCGGGCACGGCGGTCGTGGCGGGCGAGGCGCGGGGCGCGAGGCCAGACCTGGCGCGGCGGGGTGCGGGGGGCGGGCAGCGGAGCAGCCCCCAGAGGATAACAGGGGCAGGCAGGGGGGTGCCGAGGTAATGGGCAGGGCCTGGGCGCCCGGCTGCGAGGGGCGGGGGCTTCAGGCGCACTTCGGCCCTGGCGGGGAGAGCCACAGGGCATCCGGGGCCGCGGGAGGGCAGCGGGGCGGGGTGGGTGGGAGGGAGGAGATCGCTGGGCTGGGCTGGGGGGCTTGGCCGACGGGGAGCAGGTGGGCGGGGACAGGGGCCCTGTTGGAAGAGGCGCAGCGCGAGGTGGCGGGCTGCGTGCGCAAACAGGGCGGCCGCCTCCTGGGCCCGGAGAACGGTGAGGCCGCTGGGGTTGGTCGCCCCAGCCCCGAGGGCATGGTTCGGTGTCCAGGGCAGCCGAGCTGGGCTCGGGGCACTGTTTGGGAGGTGGGGATCTGGAAGCTTGACCGAGCCAGGGCGTTGAGGGTCTTGAGCAGCACCGGAGAAGTGTTGTTGGGCCAGATGCAGGAATTCCTGGGTAGGGCGCTGGTGTCAGGCCAAGGTGGGAGAGGACAGGCACTCTCAGGGCTGGCATGAGTGAAAGTGGACAAGGGGGCCCCAGAGTTTGAGTTTGAGCCTAATTTGGGAGTTGCCATGTCACTGGGTGGGTCCATGAGTCATGAGATTTGGAGATCACAGAACCCTTTCCTGGCGATCAGTTCTGAGTGACAGAAATAAAGAGGGATAGGGTTCGAATAAGTGGTTTGGAGGCCATGCTTTGGGACCCTAGGTGCCCTGGTGGCCACCAGGCTTCATGCTAGGGATTTGGAGAGCAGTGCCCCAGAGTACTGTAATTCAGAAGCTTCAGGCTGGGGTGGGGTTAAGGAAGGTCTTTGTGGTGGCCAGTTCCCGGCCTTCCTTCCTTTCCAAGCTGCCAGGATTCAGCTGTGTTCCTGTGGGGAGTGGGTTAAAAATTCCTTCAGCCTACAATCAGCTATACAGTAGCCACCAGGGGCAGGAGGGACATACATTCGTGACTGCAGCATCACATTCTCTGTCGTGGAGCCTTCACGCTTGCTTCCTCACTGTTGCCATAGTAACTGCCTATTGCTGGTGTATTTATAGGGGAAGAAGAAGGCTCTAAACCTGGGGGTAGGGGAAGGCCTCATGGCAGGCCGCAGGAGCAGTGATGGTGGCCACAGAACTGTCAGTGGAGCTGTTTAGGGGACTTCCTGGCTCATTTGAAGCCTAAAAATGAACTAATGCCTTTAGCAAGTGTGTCAGGATAACGTGCATTTGGGTCTACGACAGGTGCGAGTGTGCATGCACCAAAGTTGTGTGTTTGTGACAAAAAGTGACTATATGTAAGCTATTATGTAACTTCCCCACATGAAAATTAAAGGAGAAAACAGTAATTTTCTTCAATAAGCATCAAATTTTTTCTCTTTCTTTATTAGTAAAGCCTTTACTCATTCTTTTCAAACCAGATACAACACCTCCATTTTTCTTCAATCCAAAAACATGTACGTCCTCACTAAGAGAACCTTAGAGAGCCATGATGGAAGTAGAATTTTGAATACTATTGCATCTTTGCTCTGATAAACATTGAGGCCAATTTTGTCACTGTGCAGGCCTGTCTGTTGACAAACTCCCATGTTGATAGTTTGCTGTGGGGTTCAAAAGAGAATGCCTCTTGATATGGTGTTTCCACAGCTAAATGTTAGCTTTGTTGTTTCTCCTTTAGTTTTAAATTTATGGTTTATAGCCTGCCTGTTTGCTAGAAGGATGAGAGGACATACATGCACAATAAGATTCTGCAAACAGACATGTGAAATTGCATACCACATCATAGGAGAGATGCAGATTTGCTTAGCAGCTGGGCTTCTCGGGCTTGCCTGGTGGTGTTAACACCCAGGCAAGAGGGGAGCACTATGGGTTACACTGTGCCCATGTCTTGCATCCAGCCCATCATAAAACCAGAGCTTCTGCCTGAGGAAGGGAGCAGTGGGGTGATTGCTCCCAGATGTGGACAGCTCGGCTAATGCCCTGAAATATGTATGTGAGTGGGTGTGTATGCTGCAGAGAGGGGCGGGAGGAGCCGTGTGCTGTGTCCATGGCACATGTACTGGCTGAGTAGCCTTTCCCAGGAGGAAGGCTTTTGGATAATAGCTCACATTAGAGGCATCTTCTACTTAGTATCTTAGTGGTGATCATCTAAATCCATGTCTTGGTACCCTTATCTGTGGTGGTCTTCAATGCAAAGAGAGGAGAGATACCTGGTTCCAGAAGATTCCAGGTATCTGCTTCCATGTGAGATGAAGATGAGCACAGCAGGTTGTCCAGGTTTGGGCCTAATAGACGTGCCCAAGGATGTGAAGAATACAGTCGTGTTGTGCATGGAGGAACTGACTTGCAGAATATGTGTTCATAGAAGGCTCCTGTAAGCCAGTCCCAACCAGGCTGTGGCTTTTGAGATGGTTGCTGTTGCTGCCTTAAGCTTTGTTTTCAGGAGAACATGCTTGTCATTAGAGGTATCTGTGACTCACCATGGTTATCAGAATTAGTTACCAATTAAGGTCCTGCCTCTGTCCCTATCCATTTGCTTAACCTTGCTTGAGTCCCCACACCACTGGGATTCATTTACTCATCTCTCTCTGAGGATCTTTCCATTTGGAAAGTGCAAACATTCACTGAGGAGAGCTGGAAGGAGGAGCCTCAGCCTGTAGAGTTATCCTTTTTTAAAGAAAAGGGTCAACCCTCAGGTCTCTTGAATGCCCCAGATATGTTTTGGGGGAAATAGCTGAAAGGTTTCCTTTGCGCTCTGCTTGGTCTTGAGTGTCTCCAGGGAAGAGCCTGGGGGAAGAATGAACAACAGTGGGAGCTGTAAGTGGCTGGATAGATGGTGGTCAGCAAACAGGATACCATTTGAACCTTTTGACCAGGCCAGGAGTGCGAGGGAGGTTACATCCCAGGGACAAGAGGGTGCCCTGTAGATATCTGGGAGTGATTTCACCACAACTTTGCTTTTCTCCTTTGCCAGGCAATTGAGCCCCTGGAGCTGAGGAAGCATCATGGCAGGTGAGTTTTTCCAGGCCCAGGCAGAGTGATAGAGGGCCATGCCCAGCAGGCCAAGGGAGAGGCGCATGTCCATCCTTCAAGTCCTTCCCATCTTAACTGTCATTATCCACTTGGCCAAGCAGCAGCTTTGGCCATCTCAACTCTAGTCCCGTCCTGGAGCACTTGCTCACCTGTGGATGTGCCCCTGTGTAGGCTGCTGCCAGAGATACCTGAGTGACAGGGCTGGGGCCTGTCTGCCCGCAAACCTGGACACCAAGGGCAGTTGCCTGATATGGGCACTAGGAAGGCCCACCTCTGGGTGAACACCAAGAGCATGTGTCACCTCTTCATTCATCCTCCCAAATCTTAGCTCAGGCTTATGTGAGTGCATAGTTCATGCCATGCTCATTAGCCAGGTGAGAGCTAGTCTCTCCCTCTGCAGTATGGAGATATGGCTGGCATGCAAAGGCATTTTTGCAGGAAGGGTCTATGCCCACTTTCCAAAGGCTGAGACTCCCCATCTAGACCCTTCTACCTCCCCTTCTCAGAGGCACACTCAGGTTTATGTGTGCCCAGTCTCCTAATCCAACCCAGCCTATCTTCTTACTAGATTGCCTTGAGCAAGACTCCGGCTTCCAGGTGATCTAGAAGCATAGGTGGCAAGTCCAGGTGGAAGGATGCCACCCTGATAGTGTTTTATGGCATTGTTTTACATGAGTGGCACCAGCATCAGTTTCAAAGCAGAATACATTGTCATGACAAAGGCTCCAAATTTCTGTTTCCAAGGTGTTGCAGGTCCTGGGAGTTTATTCACTGATGACCACCATACTCAGCATCCCTATTCTTTTCCTGCTCCTGTGTGTCTTACTTGGTTCCCATAGTCCTCCATATAACCAGGGGCCTGGGCCTAGTTATCACAGGAATGTGATAGAGCCACAGGAGGCAGTCCTTCCATCTCTTTTACCAAGGGCCCACGTGTGCCCTGGTTGAGAGCCTAGAGGCTTGTCTGCTCACTTTGCCTTGTTCCCTCCAGGATGGTGCTTGAGTCCCTGGACTGAGCCTGGGTGGCAGGAGCCCCAGGCACCTCCCCATTCCAGGTCTCAGTGCGGGCTCTCTTTTCAGTGTTTCTGGAAGCCAAGAATGCACACTCGGTCCTGAAACGATTCCCTCGTGCCAATGAGTTCCTGGAGGAGCTGCGGCAAGGCACCATCGAGCGAGAGTGCATGGAGGAAATCTGCAGCTACGAGGAGGTCAAGGAGGTGTTTGAAAACAAAGAGCAAACGGCACGTACCACCCTGGGGACTGGTGCGAGCAGCCCTGGTGTCTCAGAGGAATCAGGAGCAAGGAAGAAAAGCCCCCTAACCTAAGGCGTGCCTATGCGGCCGTAGAGGGACACAGAAAATGTCCTTATAGTCCCAGCAGCTGACTCCTGGGGGGACCACTTACTTGGGAGCACTGTTCTTTGCCTTTGGTGCATTCCATAGCCTCCCTGTTAGCCCTCTGAGGCCAGGCAGATGGGGAAGGGTAGGAAGCAGCCACAGACTTTTCCCAACATGGCACCAGCCTTGCTGAATTCAGGCTTCTGAGGCCCACTAAGAATGTGAACTTCTAGTAAGTGGCACCTCTTTTTTTGCAGATGGAGTTCTGGAAGGGGTACCCAAATGCCGTCTACTCAGTGCGAGACCCCTCACAGAGCTCAGATGCCATGTACGTGGTGGTGCCCCTTCTGGGGGTGGCATTGCTGATTGTCATCGCCTTGTTCATCATCTGGAGGTGCCAGCTGCAGAAAGCAACCCGTCATCACCCCTCCTATGCTCAGAACCGGTACCTAGCCAGTCGCGCAGGGCACAGCCTCCCCCGGGTCATGGTGTACCGGGGAACTGTGCATAGCCAGGGAGAGTCCTCTGGGCACCGTGAGGCAGGGAGCAACCCCCAGGTGGTGCTGGGGCCCAATCGGGGGGGCAGAACCACAGTCCGGCTTGAGAGCACCCTCTACCTCCCTGAACTCTCCCTTTCCAGACTATCCAGTGCCACCCCTCCCCCCTCCTATGAGGAGGTGACTGCTCCCCAGGAGAGCAGCAGTGAGGAGGCCAGTGTCTCTTACAGTGACCCACCCCCAAAGTACGAGGAGATAGTGGCCGCCAACCCTGGCGCCGACAAGTAGTGGGATGTGTGTCTCATCCTGTGTGAATGCCTCTCCTATTTTCTTTTTAACTTTTTAAAGACTGTGCCACCACAAAACAGCCTTAGTCTCCTTGTTGCCAAATAATTCCCTAACCGTGGAGTATTAGGAAGTCAGTTGTCAGAGACAGGTGGAGAGGGTTAGGTAGGGAGCATTTATGGTCCAAGTCCACTGGGAAGCCACAATGGCCACAGTGTCCAGCTCTTCCAAATGCTCTCCCAAACCCCCACCATCCTGTCCTCCTGTAAGGGACTGGCTTCTCTTATGCCAAAGGAATCCCCCTGTTGAATTGATTGTGGCCAGGATGGCCACAGGCCCAGTCACCCAGGCTGTGGGGCTGGCTGGAGGCCTGTCTGTGTCTGGAATCCTATGTCACAGAGGTTAGGGAGAGAAGCCAGCCCTCCAGCACCCCTCTTACAAGACAGTTCTGTGCTTTCTGTCCTTGCTTACATTTTGAGGTCGGGGACAAGGATTGAGCAACAAACAAAATTTTAATAGTAATGGCAAGCAAACAAATTATGAGTACAATAGAACAAAACTCTAGAACCTGGGCCATTAATTGGAGGCCTGAGGAAATCCATCGCACAGATCTGTGACATTCCCTTCCCCCAGCACCCTTCCCTGAACTCCTGGAAGGAGGATGGGGTGTGTGAAGTATAAGGGGCAGGGTTTGGGTGGCAGAGCTACTTTCTCCATATTTACCAAGGGGCCCAATGTGACTTTGCCTCCCCCAGACCTTGGCCCTTCAGGTGTGTGTACCAGCCATGCTGAAACCACTACCTGCTGGCATGAGCCCACTTACAGCCCTGGAGCTCTCTGCAATGGGGACACTGATGCTCCTGGCCCTGCCTCTGCAGCCCATGGCCTTCCAATGGGCTGAGAAGAGCTGAAATTTTCTCCTTGTGAAGTTGATGATAAAACCCTGAGTGAGTTTGGCCTACTTGGCACTGTGCTCCCTGGCTTTGAACTTTTAGGATACTTCCCTTTTTGTGAGTAGGTGCATCGACATTGAACTTCAGATGGATGATTTCTCCTTAAGGATGGTCCCTACCTGGTAGAAGATCCTAAAGTGTCCCTTTTAAACATTCTTCATGAGGGAACCCATGATCTGGGGTCAAAGGCCCATCTGGAGTTTGTTCTGCTAGCCTGTTTTCTGTGAGGCTTTGGACAGCAGTGGGACAGAGGTGACCTGCCCTTTAACTAACAGTGACTGTGCAAAAGATTCTGTTGACACCACCTCCCCCCACTCCCCTGTCCACCCTTCTGGCCTCAGTGGCAAACCATTTTTCCTCTGTGGTGCTTTTAAAAATGTAGCAAATTTTTGTGTGGTCCAATAGAGTGCACAGCCTAGGTCCGTCAGCAACCACAGTAGTTTAAAACCCATTCAGTCGACAGCTTCTTTCTGTCTAAACAGCTCCTCAAGGCAGACATTGGGACTCAGTCCTTGAATGCAGCCCTGCCTTGAGGCCCCAGGGGAATTCTGGAGGCCCCTCCAGGCCTGGGGACTTGATCCAATCTGTGTTTCTAGTCAAGAGGCTCTTGTTCTGATCCCAGTGAGGCCACCAGCTTGGACAGCTTGTTTGAGCCTGTGGCTAGAATTCTCTACCCTCCCCCTGCCTCACAGGCCCATGGAAGGTGTTATGTGGTTGAGGCACCAAGAAGCCAGGGAGGTTAGTCATTAGGAAGATTCTTCTGGAAATCTGTTGGTTGTTAAGACCAGTCTCAGCAGAGGCCCTCAGATGCCTCTGATTTGGAATCTCCACCTCGGGAGTAAATGACCTGCCAGTTGACTCTTTCTGTCCCCTCTCCCCTCCTCTGCAGAGTTACTAGAGATGCTGACCAGGTGGCATTCCACCTTTCTTTCCTTCCTTTTTCCTTCTCCTGGGCTTCTAGCACTATACTCCTTTCCTTCCTCACAAAGGGATTTTCGGCCTATAAGGCTCCTACTTTTTCCCATTAGACACTGGGGCCCATTCCATTCGGCCATGTTGGAGAAGCTGGGGCCAGCCCCGGCTCTCTCAGTATTCTTTCAAGCAGATGCCCAAGCGTGACCTGGTAGCTGCTGAGAAGCTACCCCAATGCGTCTGCTTCCCATTTAGCACAGAACCAGGCACGGCCCCACTGATCAGAGCCAAGAAATGCCCGCTGCCTTTGGCATTTGTTGCACCCTTCCCTGCCAAGCCTCCCAATAGCTTGAGGCTGGGTGGTGGTGGGAGACAGTGGAAGCCTGGGGACTAGCCCAGGGAGGGCAGCTCATGTCCTTCAGGGGCTGGGGACAAACAACAGGGAGAGCCAGAGGCAGTTCCTTAAGACCCATGGTCTTCAGTGCAGGTGCTTCATAGTGTCCTTCAGGGTGGGGCTGTGCCACAGTGTCTGGCGGGTTTGCCGCATCCTCTAGGAAGCAGGCTGGACAGCACACAATCGGCGTCACTTCTTGAGGTGCACCCTTGGCTTGTACGAATGCCCTGTACATATCTTTTCAAACTGTGTCTTCGTATGGCTGTGGATTTGATACAATTCTAACTCTCCAGTAGCCACATTTCTGTTGTTTTTGGACTTTGTGTGTATGTGTGTGAACACGTGTGCACGTTGCCTTTTCTCATTGCTTATCTGAGACAATAGCCGTGTGCGGCTATAATTGTACCAGGAGGGAATCCAGTCTGGAGGGAGGAATGCCCCCTCCTGAGGCTGGGCACCTGATGACAGGGCCCTGAGCAAGGAAAGCTAAGATTAGCTATTGGAGCACGCCCCCTCCCTCCGCCAAAGTCGCCACCTTCTGACCCCTCACAAAAGGCTTTGGGAGAAGACACGCAGCTCCATTCTGTGGCCCAGCTCACATGCCCTTTTGGCATGGTGCCCTCCACTGGGCTCCTGTTCTCTGGGCGTCAGCAGCTGAAAGAAATCTGAGCCCTCCTGGGCGTTTTTTTTTTTTTTTCTTTTTGTGGAAAGATGTGTGACTATTGACTTTGGGTATGGTGGGGCTAGTTATTTAGATATTTTTCATTAAAAAAAAAAAAAGAAAAGGCTTTAAAAAATTCCTTGAAATAAGATTCACTTGTTTTCAACCAAAAACTTTTTAAGATTTTTTAAAAACAAGAATCAAAATCCTGTCCCTTCCCTGCTCCCCTTCGCCTTGGGTTTTCAAAATGAAAGCACAAGCGCAAGAGTGGGGCGCACAGGTGCCCAGCATGTGCACACCACACACACAGCTGCGTGGCGCCCTGGCTGAGGGACATGCGATGCTGAGCAGTGTGACCCAGGAGGCCAGGGGCCTCTTCTACCTGCCTATCCCACTGCCATTAGTGTGAATTCCTTAGGGTGCTTTGGAAAATAGGAATGTGCCTGACTTGGTGGGCATTGCCTTTTTGGTAGCCCGAGTGTGAGGAATTCAGGACGGGAAAGTGTCTTTTTGCTAACTAGTTGGAGCCAGATGCTTCCCCTCTCCCACTTGGATGGAGATTCCCAACCCCCAGCCAGAGTTGATCTTTTGACAACCAAATAGCATCCCAGGAGAAGAGAAACAAATCAGCACTGCTTCTAGATTGTTCTTTGGTGAGAGAGAGATAGATATCATGGAGAGAGGCTCTCTCACTCACACAGGCTCTGATTTGTAGGAAGAAGAGTGTGCTGTCTCCTGTGTACTCTCATAGGCAAGGCTGAGATGGAGAGCTTGGCGGCAAAGCCGCCTGTCTAGGCCACTTTTCAGATTGACAAGTAATGAAGCTCCATTTCAGGATTTCACTGACTCTGAAACAAGCACATCCTCCCCCACTGCACTCTACTAATACTAATCACTATAATTAGCTAATTTAAAAGTACTGTAATCAGACTGCTGGCAACTACAGTAAAAGCCCATTAATTTGAAGCCCACTAATTCAAAACTTAGAGAAAACCACAACTTAAGATAATTCACAGTAGCTGGGATTCTTGCTATATAAAAAACATTCTTCCCTTTAGTCCATTTTCAGGGTCTTCTGTGTATGAGGAATCCAGTTTAAAATGAGTCCTTTTCTCAATTAAAAGGCTCTAGACATTAAGGATCCCTTCACCGTGCCTTTCGCTTTGGGGTTCAGCACTTCTTGTACGTTTGGGTTGATCTTTTGTTCTCTCTCTGTTGAGGGGATGGTGGGTATCGCAGCCTTTCACTCTACTCCTTTACTTCTCCTGTGATAACATACTTAGTGACCTAGACTGTAGTTTAAAGTACGACATGTTATGCATCCTTCTAAATATTGTGTATAGCAGATGCTTCGCTATCGGACTGGCTGCTCCCATCATTTGCCCCCAATGTTCCAACTTCGGGAGCTTTGCCTTTCACAGGCTGTGGATGGCAAGTGTCTCTCTAGCAAGAATTTCTCTGACAATGATCTCCAAACAGCACACCCCCGCCTCACAGTTGTCTCACTGTGCTGACATCTGACCGCTGAACAGTGCCTGCCCCCCGGCTGCCCTCAGCCTGAGCATTAGCACAGACCTTCAGGATAGGACAAATCTCCAGCTGCTTTTGCCTCCCAGTCGTCTCCCCTTACAAATACCACTTTCCCAGGCCTGAACACACATGCTACTTCCCTCCGTAATTGTGAATTTGTGACAGTGGAAACCCTGATATGTGCAATTGAGCTTATAGAAATGAGTACTGTGAAATGGATCAATTTGGTACCACTTTAAACTGTGCTGTATTCCTGTGTTGACCCTTGTCAGCATTGAGTAATATGTCAGCATTTCACTGGAGCCTGGGGGCACCAAACAAACTTGCTTCTGATTTCTTTGCGCTTTATCTCTCTTTTTAAAATTGTTGAGTTTAGCTGTTAAATTTTGTCTCTTTCTGTAAAAGAAAATAATGAATTATAATAAAGAGCAAATGATATCCACTTAAACCCTGTCCATGTCATCCTTCCTGAATCCCTGCTAACTTCCAAGCTCCCATTGGCTATGGATGGTTGGGGCAATCTTGTTTATCCAAAGGTCAGACTGCCCAAACCAGTTTAGAAGCAGGAAGCAGAGATTTCCTGGGTCCTAAAGTTTGTCCTTGTGATATGTAAGATGATCTCCTGACCCATCCCCTGAATGAAGTTAGTAAGATCTGTCACAATTCACTGTTAGCAACTTCCCTGTCACCTGATCCTTGGTTACTGACAAAGGTGTCCCTTACTAGAAGGATGCCTTTCTTGATTTCAGGGCTGGGGGAGGGGTGAAAGGGACAGATACTCAGGCTTTGCCCTGGCCGAGCTTTTGGAATTCTGAGGTTGGCAAGCATCAGGGATAGTTCCAAGGGCACTGATGCCTCGGTCTCTGGACAGAGGAAATTGGTCTTAGCCCCAAAGGCTCCCAGATGTTGGTGCGGAGAGATACGCCACGAGAAGTCACTGGCACAGCTTCTGCCAATCCCAGTAATGAAAGTAATCCATGCTTTCATAGGGAAAGCCCTGGCAGTGGTGGGACAATGGCAGTGAAATTTGTGGCCTCCCTGGAGGATTGAATGTGGAGGCTAAATTCCGAGAATGGCAGCCAAAGGCCTTGGCTTTCATTCTTGT